AGCTTCATCAGAGCATGGGTTAAAAGCTCTCATAGGCCTCAGATTCCCCATTCATACACATAAGACCAGTGGGATCCCAATTACAGCCCCTTGAGGAAGTTTACAGACACAGTTTCCTTTTATTCCTAAGAAAAGCAATTGATCTTTCACCTTCCAGGTTGCCAGAAAGAGAAAAGTTTAATTAAGTACAATGTTAGGATGTGAGAAAACAGGCAGCCTAATACACAATTGGTGAAAAGACAAATAACTACCAAAATGCATATACCTTTGCACCCCTTACAAATGTATCAAGAGGATATGCTCTATGCATGCAAAATATGGTGTACAAGGTTGCTCATCATAGCAACCAAAAATGGTGTACAAGATTACATATTTTTGGCAATGTTTAAATTGTGGTAAAATATACATAAAATTTGCAGTATAAGCCATTTTCAAGTATACAATTTAGAAGCATTAAATGCATTCACATTGTTGCATGACCACCACCATCTATTCTCAGTTTTTTGCCTTCTCAAACAGAAACCTTGTACCCATTAAACAATAACTCCCCACTTCCCCTTCCCCTGCTCTCTGATAACCACTATTCTACTTTCTGTCTCTATGAATTTGCCTATGCTAAGTAGCTTGTTTAAGTGGACTTATACAATATCTGTCCTTTTGTGTCTGGCTTATGTCGAGGTATATGATTATATGTTCTATTTGAATATATGTTTTTTAAAACAAGTGAAATGTATTGGATTTTCTGAGCAAAATGCATTTGAGACGTCTTCACATTGAAGGTCCACATCACCACCCTTAGAGGGGGAAGGAGTGTCTCTCCCATTGCAGCACCACAGGCATATCCCAGAAAGATGCTCACGTCTCTTACTCCACACCCACTCCCCTCATTTTCCCTGTTCTCTAATGCAAGCATTTGAGCCCCAAATTTAACCTGCTGCCTCAAGACCCTTCCTCTTTACCTCCCCACAGGGGTCACCTCAGAATTATTTTGTGAAACCCAGAACCCAGCCCAAGCCTGTGGCAGTAACCTTCCCAAAAAATGAAGACAGGAAGTGAAAATATCAATCAAACACATAGAAAATGAAGATTTCCCCTAATGTGGTAAAATCACAGTATTAAAGTAAGAGCTTGGGAAAATATAAAAATGAATCCATCTTTCTATCTTTGAAATGCTTTACTCTCTATATGTGTCTGTGTCCCCGATATCTGTTTAGCACTCTAGATTGGGAGATGAGGATAATATCTTTTTCCATATCTGAGCATTTCCAGAAAAGGATAGTAGCTCATCAGTATAGGGAAGATCGTAACAACGACAGAAAGAACAAGAAGTAATGCTTGCCTCTCCATTATCTAACTACACCAACTAGTTCAACAAATACATATTTTCTAAATGGTTACTTCCGAGGGTTCTATTTAAGTTAATGTAGCAATATTCCCAATTTGTGCTCCTAGCTAACTGCTCCTACTCCTTGAGGACTGCAGTCCTCAATCAGTTATGTATGCTTTTAGTCGTTCGCCTTTCTGCATCTTTCTTGAAAATCCACAGTTGATAATCACAAGATTCAAGCCGAGGTAAAATATTGTCAGTATTTTTAAGCACCATTTGGCCAAAAACATTGCTTGGGGACACACACACACACATTCACATATGCTGATGAGTCATAGGCAGATTGTAGCATGTTATTTTGAGACTTCCTTGCCCACCATAATACTGCCACACATCTGGCCCATCTTCAAAATGGTGCCTCGCTGGAACAGTGTCCCTGCTACTCTCCAAGGCCGGTGGTGCGAACGCAAAACTGCTACAGCCCTTCCAGCTCCCTACTTCCAGAATTCACACAGGAAAAATGAAAGGGAATATTTAAATGAAAGCCAATGTGGAAAACACATGCTTTCATAATCTAAAATAGGCTTTAAATTATTTATTTGTTCAATCAATTAAATTGATGTGGAAGTATTCATTGTTATTTGGAAAACTGTAAGTTTGAAGATTTTAAAGCTAGCTTCAAGTTTTAATGAAAGAGAAGGTAGTGATGATCAGAAAAATCATCTGTAAAAAAATTGCAATAAAGATTTTAAGTGATGCCTGATAGTGAAAAGTTTGCTGCTAATATATTCATCTGGTGGTTAGCCAAAACTGGCTCTACATAGTTTCATATCAAGTGTTTTCTGAATCAGCAGAAAATAATATACTTATAGCTCTTCAGTATTTCTATACTATTCAACAGAAAAATTTAAGGACTTTTATTTTCTCCCAATAAAATAAATTTTAGTTATCATGTCAATAAACAAATGATAAAATATGATTTATACTTTAATAAAAGTTAATTCTCTTATTCTCCATATGTATAATTTTAATTCTGAATTGTGATTTATATAACTAAACCTTGCTTTTAAAGATACATATCATTTAGAGCATACTTCTAAAATTGATCATATATATAAATGTAAATGAATGTTAACATGGACGATAATTTGTAATTAATCTGACTTCCATACAGCTGTTCATTTAAATACTCCATATGTTTAATAGGTAGATTTAAAATGAATCAGAACATTCCTTTTATAATAAAGCAAGTGGTATTATAAT